ACATCTCTTTCACTTACAACACATTATTCTGTTTCGCTAACAATCAAACACATCTCTTTCACTTACAACACATTATTCTGTTTCGCAAACAATCAAACACATCTCTTTCACTTACAACACATTATTCTGTTTCACTAACGATCAAACACATCTCTTTCACTTACAACACATTATTCTGTTTCACTAACGATCAAACACATCTCTTTCACTTACAACACATTATTCTGTTTCACTAACGATCAGAATAATGTGTTGTAAGTGAAAGAGATGTGTTTGGAATAATGTGTTGTAAGTGAAAGAGATGTGTTTGGTTGTTAGTGAAACAGAATAATGTGTTGTAAGTGAAAGAGATGTGTTTGGTTGTTAGTGAAACAGAATAATGTGTTGTAAGTGAAAGAGATGTGTTTGATTGTTAGCGAAAGACAATAATGTGTTGTAAGTGAAAGAGATGTGTTTGATTGTTAGCGAAACAGAATAATGTGTTGTAAGTGAAAGAGATGTGTTTGGTTGTTAGTGAAACAGAATATTGTGTTGTAAGTGAAAGAGATCTGTTTGGTTGTTAGTGAAATTCTATTAAGTTTGCTAATTTATTCCTCACATCAATAGAGATAATTTTTTACAAGCTTTTTATGTGGCACCTTGTCAAATACTTTCTGAAAATCCAGATACACCAAATCTACACCCTTACCCTCAACTACATAAACAGTAACCTTTTCAAAAAATGTCAAAAGAGTAAGGCAAGATTTTTGTTAAAAAAAACCTTTTCAAAAAATGTCAAAAGATTAAAGCAAGATTGTCATTAAGAAACCATGATGATTATCAGATTAAATTCTAAACTTTGTTAAATGGCTTTGCAAACATCTTTTATCAAACTTTCCAATTACTGGTACAATTTTTATAACCTCCTTTGAAAAGAGGAGTTACATTAGCTAACTTCCAATCCTCTGATACCTGCCCAATATTCAAGGACTGACAGAAAATAGTAGTAAGTCGCTCATATATCCAATCTTTAACCTCCTTCAAAACCCCTGGGGAACATTATCTGGCCCAGAAGCCTTGTCATTTTTTAAACTTCCCAATTTTTTCTAAACCAGCTCAGAATTAATGCAATCATCTTGTTTGTCACAATAAGTGTTTGGAGTCAGTAACATTATATAGGTTTTTTTTTTTCCATAACACTCAACTTTTCATGCATTTTGTCATGTGGTTGTATTTCTTCAAAGCTAGTTAAATTATTTATTTTTCTGATAATTTCATTGCATATCTTCATTGTATGAGATATTTTTGTACTTAAATTGTTTTCTGCTTCATTTTCAAAACTAAAACACTATGGTTATGACATAGAGAAAGTGAAATAAGTGAGTGACTTAGAAAATTAAAAAGTTGGAGTGTTAATATGAGAATAAAATATTTTTTGTAAAATAGAACATGGTATTATTAGTGAAACAGAATATTGTGTTATAAGTGAAAGAGATGTGTTTGATTGTTAGCGAAACCCTTATCTTGCCTTTATTATAATTAAAACCCATCTGCCATTTATTTGCCCAACTCAATAGATGATCTAAATCCTTTTGTAAATCAGCAGCATCCTCTTCACAGCTAGCATCATCCAAGACCTTATTATCATCTGCAAATTTAAGTAATTTATTAACCATTCCTTCATCTATTTCATTGATGTAAATCAAAAAGAGCAAAGGTCCTAAGACTGAGTCCTCAGGTGCCCCACTTTTGACATTAATCTGGTTTGACTGAACTCCATTTGTAACAACCCTCTGCCTTCTTCCATTCAGCCACTCCATTTGGGTTATCATAATATGAATTATAAGTATAATTTTGATGAGAATAACTTTAATAGTGTTATGAAGGAAAGGGATCTTGGTGTAATAGTTGATCAGTCTCGAAAGCCATCCAAGCAGTGTGCTGTTACTAGTGGTAGGGCAAATAGGATTTTCAGGATTTTCCTGAAAAAAGAAGAGTTAGGGGGATCTAATTGAGGTGTTTAACATTGTAAAGAGAATTGATAGTGTTGATGTATCATCTTTTTTCGTATTTAAGTGAGAATAGTAGGACTAGGGGACACAAATATAAATTTTTGGAGGGTAGGTGTCATCTTCAGCTAAGACAGTTTCATTTTTCTAACAGTGGGGTTGGCCTTTGGAATGGGTTGCCTTTGGATGTTGTAGAAGCATAAATTTAAGTGAGATTAAGAAAGAGCTTGAAAAGTATATAAGTTATAAGGGCTGGCTTTAAGATTTTTTTTAATCATTTTAACTTAGTTTAGAGGATGGAACAGCTGAGATGGACCAACAGGTCCCATGTTGTCCCAAAACATTATGTTATATGTTATAATAACCATATATGTACCCTGTATGAAGCAACTGAACCCTAAACATTTGTTATCATGGGGCATTAAAACATATGAAAAACAGAAATCTGTAAAAAGTTTATTAATCTAAGTACTTGATGTATAATGACCTAACATAAACCTCAACCCTGTATGAAGCTAATGAACAGTGTTTACAAAAAACAATTATTCACACTACATTCAGGATCTGATATTTATAAAACACACGAAGGCTTTAAACAGCCCTTCCCAAACAGTATATGGGGGCTGTTAGTAAGCTGATGCTGTATCTGTATTCTTTATTTACAAAATTTGACCCCTCAAGGTGAGAGGGCATCCCAGGAAGGGTTCTGTATTGCCATGTGTGGCGACCCGTGAAGGGGAAGAGAGGATCCTGATGATTGAGTGGTGTCTGGGGCACTGCAAAACACCACTTTGGCCTTGAATTCCTGTAGGCGGGTGGACTTGGGGTGACCCCTCCAGGGTCAATCAGCTGGTCCTGTTGGGCTAGGGTCAACTGAGTATCAGTGTTGGGAATTGTCAATGGGTGTGGTGATGTTGGTGTTTGGGTATAGTGCTCACAAGTCCCTGGCATTGCTGCAGTGTCCTTGTTTGGCATTGTTGTGCATTCTTTCATCGGACCTCATGGTGGGTAAAGTCAGTGGGCACTGAATTTTTCTCCCAAATCCTAAAAAAAAATAAAATAGTAAAAACACAACTTATTGGTAAACGACTACACCTTGAAGACTGATCAAAAATCTTCAACTCATCTTGCTCCTGTACCTCATTTCATGATGTTGCATTCCTTGTCAGAAAAACATTTAGGACAAATGTCTCCCTTTTTTTTTTATTCAGAAGGGATTAGAAGGGCTTGCTGGCTCTCCAAAGTCAGTCAAGACA